TTTATTACACTCTCTGCATGGAAGCACAAGAAACACTAAACTGGGAGGAGGGAAGGGCAGAGAGTGGGGGAAGAAGTTTATTGTTCCTCTCTAGGAAACCTGTGCATCAAGATTTTTTTGCCCCTGGTGGCTGGATTACAGAACAAAATGAAACAAATGTCATATTAAAAAGAGTGTATAAATTTCAGAAATACTGGACATAGCCTCCCTGCCAAGATCAGAAATACCAGGAAGTGTCCAGCATATTAACTACAAGGGAAGTTGGTTGGTTCTATTATGTGAGAGTCAAAATGAAGTGTTATAAGTCTCCTCCATTTCTTAAAACTGGGACATGGGATGAAGATACATGGTTCTCAGAACTGAGCTTTAGGAGCAAAATATCACATTGGAGACTACTCTCTGCCATGTCCTCCACTTCCACAAGCTTCCCAAATTTTATAATTGCTGAAGGATTTAAGTTACAGCCCAGGCACTTCAGGGTCTTAGAGACTGAAAATTGAATGCTGAATTTTCCCAAAATACTTTTCTCGTATTGATGTGGATGGTGCAGAGATGCAGCAGAGCTTTCGTTTATCTTGCTTCAAAGGCAAACAGCAGCAACTGAAGCAGCAAATGGTCTTTGAGAGGCAGGTGAATTTATGAGGTTTGTTGACCATCTTTTCATCTTTGCTATGAGAAATAAAAGACGAATTACTTCAATAGCAGTCAGATGGCCAAAAGAGGATAAGAGAGACTGAATGCATGGCAATACCTGAAATTATATATTAAAAATTGTCTCATATTTGCTTGGCAATGGCACAAATTTTGCTGAGATGATTTCTCTTTCTCTCTTACCCTCAGAATGAAAACAGGATAGAAAACAAAGTACTGAAGCTGTGAGGCAGTGACTAGTTGATATTTGCTTCACTGTACGCACAGCTCTAGAGGATTTCATTTTTCTAGAGAAAGGTGTGAAAGCATTTTCATGCTACATTTCAAACTCAGCTCCATTTCACCAGCCTTCTGCACCAATTCTCAGATCAATGTCATAAATTTTCATTTCAAAATAGCAGCCTGATTTTCCACTATGGTCCTTAACTCATCCAGTTTTTCTTACCTCATGCCAGTTACTGTGATAAACAGAGCAAAATACTTGTGTAACTTCAAGTACATGAATAAATGCACAAAGGTCAGACCTTGGTACTGTTCCTTCATTGTTACACTATGCTGTGGTTTTTCATATCTTCAAATTCATTCTATTACAAAGAAAAAACAAGCAAAAAGGATGATAAGGGTTTTTTTTATGTTGGATATATCAGAAACTACATTTTGAAATCTTTCTTTTCTCCAGGGTGCAGAGTTCAGAGCCAGCCTTGAAACTCAAGCCTCTATTGGGATTGTATACAACTAACTGCTTAATAAAATAGGGGCAAATATAAAATCTTTCAACATCTGACTTCTGTTCATCTGCATGTTTTCTTGTTACTGTTAGGAAAAAAAAAAAAAAGAAAACCTAACCATCACTTACCATCTGTGTTTAATGCTCTTAAAAAGTAGACTCTTCATTTTCCTTCCATTTCAAGTCTTCCCTTCCCCAGCATTACTCTTTGGCCTATTCTGTAAGAGAAAGAGCAGTCATATTGTGTCTTGATTTTCCTTCAAATGAGACTAATGGTTTCACAGAATGGTCTGACCATTTGCTCCGAGTTTTCACATACTATATCAAAATTCACCACTGAACAGTGTTAAATATAATAAATATGAATAGAATAATCAGGAAGGGTGTAAATAATGCCAAAATGCTCATGGAGGATGCTTTCAATTGAGGACAGTTGCAGGAATTATGACAGTTGCACAGAAAGTGAATTAACATAAGCATTATGTTACTTACATCGTAGTAATAGTAACATTTTAATGTAATCAGTGCAGTGATGAAGTGATGAGTCATTGCTCTAGGAAAATGACCAAGGAGTCTGGAAAAGACTAACAAATACTGTAGTCAGTGATGATTCCCTGCCTTTACTATTACATTAGGAACTAATGAGACCTGTCTCCCATGTTAGAATAATAGCTAGAAAGATACATTCCACCTTCAAGGCCTTGTTTGCACTGAAGCATTACTCAGATCAATTCTACTTTACCAGACTTAGCACAATTTGGAGCAGTAAAATATACCAGCAATCAGCAAGTTGTTGTCCAAGGCCCTCCCTGGTAAATGGAACAGAAAAGGCCAGTGCTTCATTCAGCACTGCTGTTCCACACCATATCAGAGAGAGAGGTACATACTTTAGCACTACTGTGAGAGAGAGGAGAATTCTAGAGAAAAAAAAAAAAAAGAAAAAGAAAACAAAAATCACAGTTTATGGCTGCTAATTAAGTTCAGTCTCCCTGTGAAACCTACTTCTGGGGTGAGGTAATTCAGAGGATCCTCATCTGCACAAAAGAATTTCCTCCTAACTTCTTCCTGTTTTTCCTTGTTTCTTTGGGTCTGAATGACTAAGCTTTTCTACAGTCTCTTCTCAAGAAAACCTTTTTTTCTTCCATCCAAGGAACAGCTGGAATAACTAGCCCTTTGTATTTTAAGTTATTCATTAAAGTTAAATGGCTTTATATTCAAGCTTGTCCTAGGGTAACTATTTTAAGGTTAACCTTTCTATAGCAGTGAATCCAGATAAGTTTCTCAATTTTCTCTGAACCTGGCTAGACACAAATACGTATTACTGTGCCCTTGCTATGGTTCATAGTTGTTGCCTCAATACCTATTTTGATTTCCCAAAGCAGCACTGAACATCAAGGAGAAAAAGGTCATAAACTATGAAAGGCAGTTTCAGAAGGACAGAGAGAACTTCATAATTTGTTTCTTTTTTATTGGTAAGACAGATAGTAGTTCTCAATAGTGTCCAGATACAAATGGATTATTGTACTTCATATAGGGGTAACAAAAACTCACCAAACCCTCACAAACCAAAACCCTAACTAGTTAGCTTCCTACAGAGTCTTGCTTAGCAGAGTCTTCACCCCAGCTTCACCCCATATCCCTACAGATCATCATCCCCAAATCTCTCACAAATCGGGCTGCTCCTTGGCAACCCCACCTAGAAAGCAGATTCTTTTCTGTTTTAGTTTCTCTTTTCAAATTAGACTATTTGAATGCTTTCCTAAAGCTCCTTTCAAAAACAAAGGAGGAGATGTGAAGATCATACCTAAACCAAGGGACATTTACACAAATCCGTTGGGTACAATTAGGCAGATTGAGAATTAAACAACTTCTTGCATCCACTGCTATATGTAGGTCCTTGCTTTGGCAGTAAGAACCAAACGTTGTTAGGTTTAATTACTCAAACAAACCACTACAGGATCATTTTAAAACACATTGTTGCCTCTTCCACAAGATGGAGTGCAGTGATAATATCTGAGGATTTTCGAATTGAATCAATACATCATGCCTCTCCTATGCTAGAAAAAGCCTTTAAAAACTTTATCCAACCACAGCAAAACAAATCAGAAGCTCCAGTGGAGCAGGTTCTCAATGGTTAGTTATGCCTATTTCAGATGGGAGTTCAGAGTGCATCCCACAAAACAAATAAGGTCCACAAGTTCTTTTCTTTATGCATTCAAAATGAGCAACAGAACTTAACAGCGACTTTCCTCTGATGAAGGGAAATTACAACCACAAAAGTTTTCACACCCACTTGTTACACAAGATGTAAGAATAAAGAAATAATTTTACTCAGTCAAGAATTTTTAAAGATGCCATAAAGAATTGCTTTTGCGCTGTATTTACTTTGCAGTTCTCAGCCATAGCCTTGTGGCTGCTGAACTCAATCAAGACCTGAACTTGTCAAAAATTAAAGCAGTATCAGTGCTTTGATTGGATGTAGCTGCTAGCATTCTGCTGGCATCCCATCAGCTGCATGCTTAAGAGATCCATTTGGGAGAATGAGAAGCTTCCTTATTCTCTTCTTTCACGGTCTGAGTTTACTGTGAAAAGTTGTGATCTGATGTAGACTTGTTAGCTGGCAATCAGGTAAATGCACTTTGGATAGGAAAAGGGATTCTGAAAGATTCTTCCTTGTTTTAGACATCAAGTTTTGTAATATAATACAGAGTTTTTATATCAGTTTACATCTTTGTACAGCTATTTATTATGATATATTGAGTCTTGTCAATAATACATAATGACTAAAACAACTGCTGAAAACCACAATAAGCTACCCTGAACCATGTAGACTTTAGCTTGAATTTACGATCTACGGCCTTGCACTTCTCAGCATCAGCAGTCACCCTATCCCAGTTCAGAAGTGACAGGGTTGCCAATGCCACATACTATGGGACCTTAACGTTGCTAATGATATTCTATTTTGCAAATCTTCCCCCTTACCAAGCTAGCTGTGACATAAAAGCTTGTGAAGGCTAGTCCTTACAAATCATCTAGCACGACTCTCTGTGATAAAGTGACTCTTAGGGATATAATATTTTTCCCTTTATGTACACAAGGACTGCAGTGCCACCAAGCACATACCATATTTATGCCCCTGCCTGGCAGGAAGTTTGGAGCTCCTCTGCATTTGTTAACCCTGCTTTTCAGCATCTTTTACCTCGATTTTTAAAGACACGCCTCCAACTTTACAGGAACAGCCTGCTGGCGCTGGGCGGTGAGAATTGGAAGGGGGCGATGGGGGGGGGGGCGTTGAGGAGCAGCTCAGCCCACCGCACCCCACGCCGAGCCGCCCGCCAGTGCGGAGCGCAGGGTCGGCAGCGCCGCCCCCTCGGGAGCGCCCACGGGCACCGCGGGCAGCGAGACCCTCTCGGCCCGAGCGTGCGCGCGCCCCCGGGAGGCGGAGCCGCGGCGCGGGCGGGGCCCGGCGGCTTCTGCGGCGGCGGGACGGGCGGAGCGGGGCGTGCTGCTGGTGCCGAGCACGGACGGACGGACGGACAGACGGAGGCAGGGACGGAGGGAAGGAAGGAAGAGAGGCGCTGGCTGCTCCTCAGTCCGGCGGTTCCGCGGCGCTGTTCGGGCAGCAGAGCCGCCGCCGAAGCCGATGGGGAGGCGGCGCTGAGCGGGCTGCCCTCCGCGGGAGTCGGCAGCCGAGGGCAGCGGCGCGGCGGGCGAGCAATGCCTCTCACTTCTCCGCTTGCGCTTCCCGTCCTCCTCCTCCTCCCGCTCCCGGCTTTTAAGCTTTTGTTTTCCCCGGCTGCTGCGATGGCAGGAAACTTCCCGGAGGGATGGGCTCAGGCCGCGCTTCTGCTGCGCCGGGCTCCGCAGATCACCGGCTGCGCCGTGAGGTGAGCCGAGCCGGGGCGGGGAGCGCTGCCGGGCGGCGGCGGGGGCAGCTCCGCGGGGCCGGCGGGACGGGCGGCAGGAGCGGGAAGAGTTGCGCCGGGAGTGCCGCACGGTTATGCCGGTTCGCCCCAGCCGGGATCGCACGGCCAGGAAGCCGCTCCAGCCCCGAGGATCCGTGTCCGTGGGCCAGGACGGTTCAGGGGCCGGCGCCCCGAGGAGGCTGCGTGGGCACCGCGGAGCCGGGCGCCCCCTCTCCCGGTGGAGCCGCGGGATCCGCTGGCGGGCAGCGGGGGCGGGAGCGCTGCCAGCCCCGGGTGGGCGCTCTCGGCCGCGTCCCGTGGCCCGTCGGGCCGCCCGTGGGGGGGGTTTCTTCTTTTTCTTCTTCTCCTCCTCCTCCTCCGTCGGCGGTGGTGCCGGCGCGGAGGCGGCGTGCGGGGGCCGCGCTTCCGGCCGGGGTTCTGTCCCCGGGAGGTAGCCTGGCTCCCCTCGGCTCTCCCGGACCGGCCCTCCCGGCCGCTGGTCAGGGGCACGGAGTGGGGCTGGCTGCTTGCTGTCACCTGCTTCTCTAGGCTCCTGCTTGTGCTCAACTCTTGAACCTGCTGGTGTCAGTACGGAGTGCCTGTGGCTCCTGGGGAAAAACAAAACAGAACAAACAAACAAAAAACCAAAAACACCAAAAAACAAACAAACCAAACAAACCCAGAAGTGCCTCGCTTGGTTTTGATTGTTTTTCATCTACTTAGACGAGTATGTAATTTTTATTTGAATGTGCTGCATGGTTTACCTCATACTTGCTTTGTAAAAGTCAGATAATACAGTGCAGCCTAATATATATATATATATATATATATATTTGGGTTATATATATATATATATATATATATATATAAAACCCAAAACATATAACGAAGTTTTCCTTGTAAATCGGTAAAAACACTTTCACAAGAAAACCATTTACATAAAGACTTGAAGGTAACGCACATTTTTTAAACGGTCAGAGCAAGTTAGATCCATGCCCAGGAGGGTTGTTAAATGAAATTGTTTATCATTACTGAAACCATGAATGCTTAAGCAGTGGCAAATGGGTTTTGCATAATGCATTTTCTGTGGGACGTTTTACACATTCTAACATTAGAGCAAAGGCGTCAGAGGCATCAAATTATAAAAAGGGCAGTTTTAACTAGGCCACTTCTAGATAGATGAAAATGTAAAGAAATTGCAGATTTGTTGTAAGATTAATAACACAGAATAGCTGTGTGTTGTTAGTTGTCAAATGTGTTTTTACTGTTGTTTTTTTGCGCAGTTATCTGTTGTGAAAATGTTGCCAAAATTGCTGTAGCTCCAGGATAACATAATAGACTCACCAGTAATTACATTTTTAGTCTACAGAAGCAAATTTGGTAATGACTAGTAATTAGAAGAAAAGTAATTTCTGAATAACTGTCATTTGAAATATTTATTGCCAGATGATCAGCCCTCAGAAGCACAGCCTCTTATGCTATTCTGTGTTATTCATGTAGAGAGTAGCCTTACTGTGAGAATGTATTCTAAATGTATAAACTTTGTCTTTTTTTAAACTGAGAAAATAAATGAGACTGTGGAAATTAGTAGGTCATAAGCAAGGTCTGCCTACTCAGAGGAAACAGGAAGAAGCCAAGAGGAGCTCTACTAATTCCTAATTTTCTTCTTGTGTGCTAGAGTACGTTGGTGACTTTTGTCAGGTGGTGCTGATCAGGCAATGCTTATATGCTTCATCGTTGCATTTGCCCCTTTTAAAAGATTCCTTTAGGAATAATTAGCAGATGAAGCTTGGAGGGGCTATGACCACTTCTCTGCAGCTAATTAAATGCACCCAAGACTCTTTTCTGGTTCTGAAGCCAACTCGTGTGGGTTGGCCCTTGTCAATGCTGCTAAAGTCTCCTGTCTTCCAGAGTAGGAGAGCTGAATACAAGCTAGTGATTGGGACTGGCACCTGGCCTGTGTTAAATCCAAAACTGTGCCTCAAAATTACACGAGAGACCTGTAGGTGCCCTGTGTTAGAAGAAGGCAGTGCCAGTCTGAAAATTCAGCAGTCTGCGACTGAGGGAATTCTGTTTCCTGGGAATGGTTCCTGGCACTGCTTGATTTACTAATGTGGACATAGCCTATCTGTAACATAGTCTATCTGCAAGTAACCTCCCTTAACTCTGTACTCGACCATAGTGAATTAATTTCTGTGATTGAGGGTCCCTGACACTATAAAATGCTTTTCATAGGCAGCTGCTTAGAACTGTCAAGGCTATCTTCCTTTCTTCTCCACTTGTGCATGTGGGTGAAGAAGAGGGAGTAGGTGAAGGCATGGTAGCTTTCCTACTTCTCAGTAAAGGAGAGGTAAACAGGGTCAGGGAAGGAAAGGCTTATGTGACTTGTTCTACTTGTCTGCAAATGTGCTCCCAGGGCAATGCATATCCATAAGCAAACCTGATGACTGGATGTGGATGCAGTCACATGCTGGTTTGCTACTTTCCTGATGTGTTACAAGTAGCAAGTTAGGCAGAGGAAATATTAGGTTTTTTTTTTTTTTCAATGCTCTAAAGGGCGTCAGACCTAATTGTTACAAATGAGGAAAGTGAGGCAAGAGGAAGCGTACCTATTATCTAAGGAAGCCTGGTTGTAGGATCCAGAAGTAGAGTTTCAAATCGAAAATTGTTCTGTCAGGTTGCACTGCTTGTCACAGACATATAAAATACTTTATTAGAATGGTGTACTTCTTATCTCTGTTATTTGCTGGCAGCCTTTATTTTGCTAACTTAGCTAGTAGTACAGTTTGAACTTATATAGGCTAATTGTTTAACCATCTCATTTCTAGTTGAGAATAACATTTAGATACTTATGTAAACCTTACATCAGTGATAGTATTGGGTAAATGTTCCAAAGTGCTTTCCTGAACAGGCAGCTTGGCTCAGTGAAATTACAGTTGATTTCATATGAATGAGACCTTGCAAAATACAATTCTTAATATTGAGATGTTTCAGTGTGTGCTTTAGGAGAAAATTGAGCTATCCTTTTTTTTTTTTTTTTTTTTTTAATGTGTAAAAGCATTGATTCAGCAAGTTGTATTTATACTTAAACACACACTATCAGTGTCTGCGGAGTCCCACTGATCTGAATGGCACTTCGAGAAATCTCTTGCATAACTGTAACCTAATTTACTTCAATCTAGATGTTTATTATACATAAGCTGTGTTTAAAAGAGTATCGTTAAGACCACATAAGCCCAGAAGTGTTTGGAAATTTAAAGCTTTGAAGTGATGATGATGTGGCCTTTGGGAGCTGTGCTTTATACTGTCTAGGACCAGATTTTTTTCAGAGCATTTTGTATCTCAAATCAGGCAACCAAAATTCAAGAATGGTTTTGATTTTTGCATCTCTTCCTTGATTTTTCTCCTCCTGGGAGTTACTAAAGCAAGGCTTGAATTGTGTTGATTAGGTATGACATAGTGACAGAGAATAATTGTGGAGAAAGCAAGGTTTTGGACACTTGTTCATCTTGATGAGCAATGCACTTTCTAAAGGAAGCTGGTTTTTGTGTGGATAAGTAGTGTTTAGTCACATAGTTAAAGCTGATATCTTAGTGTTTAAGTTCTATACCTGCTACTTCTCAAGTCTTCAGAGCTTGACTTTTGAACCATGATAGCATTAATTATTTAACATAGTTTTGGGGTGTATAATTTCCCCAGTCCTTTTTTTTTTTTTTAACCCCTAAAACAGATAGATGCAAAAGCTGTAATTTTTTCTGAGGTATCTTTGATCACTTCTTATGTCCTTAGCAGAGTTAGAACTCTCTAAAGTTACAGACAGGCTGTAACTCTCTGAGCTGTAGCAGTAGGTCATGATCCATAGATGGATTGACAGTGAAGGGAAACAACATGCTCTAAACATGGATTATGAAATGACTCACATTACCCCATAATTTTTATGTAATATGATGTCACTGACTTAAGGAGGATGGTGAAACTTTAATACTTCATTTCCATTCCATTGTCCACAGGGCAGTGCTGTCTGGTGACTTTGCTGTTATTTTCCCTGCTATACTGTCCTGTTTCTTCTGGGCCATCTTATTGCCCAGCTGCTTCCTACACTTTTCTGCCAGATTCTTTTCTTTGTTGATGTAATAAATAATTTTTTTTGCTAGTCACTTCAGTTGGCCAGTTAGAATATTTTGTCCTAATCTAGCATGCAGCCCTCTCATGTTGCATGGGTCAGGTCAGCTGACCAAGCAGATCATGTCAAGAAAGCAAAGGGGAAACAGGCTTTCAGATCCAGTGCTTAGATTTTACGGGCTTTCTTGAGGAAATAATCACTGTTATAACCTAAGTGGACTGGGGCTGGAATGTAGAACTACAGAATAACTGAGAGTGGAAGAGACCTCAGGAGGTCGCGTAGGTCACCACTTGGCTCAGTGCTGAGCCTGATTGAAAGTTAGATGAGTTTGCTCAGGATCACATCCACTTGGGTTTTGAATGTCACAAAGGATGGAGATTCCACAGCCTTTGTGAGTAAGCTGTTCCAATGTTTGACCACTATCAGTATGAAGCTTTTTTCCTAAAGCCTAATCAAAGTGACCCATACTGTAGCTTGTGTATGTTGTCCCTTGCCCTTTGTTGTGAACCTCCAAGAAGAGTCAGATTCTTGTGCTCATTAAAAGCAACAAATGTTTTTTAGTTGCTTAATAACACAGTTTCTGTCAGGAACATAGATAGCTTTTGCCAAGCATGTAAAACCCAATCCTCTTCCAGTCAGGTTTACACACCTTATTCAATAGCAGGCTAATCAAATCAGTTGAATTACCTTTATGTGGGTAAAATAAAAATCTTTTGCTAGCCTTGCTTTTTGAAACAGATGTGATGTCTGAAATTTCTCCTTTCTTTCTCCCACATGATCATGCGTTGTATTTTCCATCAGGTGACTGCATCATTATGTGCAGTGAATGGATGCTGGTGGTTTAGGAGGTGAATCTAAG